TTTTCAAAAAAATTTTTTTTTGGACACATATAGCGATTCTCAACAACCAGAATGGATGAAAAAAAAAGATACCACCGAGTATTATTTATTATCATCATATACAGCCATTCACAAGGATTGATCATCATCAACATTGCCTTAATAATAATGACTATGACTATGATCTCATGTTTGTTTTCCATAATCCTTTTTTTTCTGTTTTGATTTCAATTGTTCATCATTCATATTATATACAAGTATATATTCATTTAGCAATTGTATATAAAATAAAACAACAAAAACACTTTGAAACAATTAAAGCTCACTTAGATATTTCCACTCAAACAACCAAAATAAACTCATAAACTCATGATGATGATTATGATTTGACATGTGATGACAAATGACTTTCAAAGTTTGGCTACATTGTGTGTTCATTTTGTATGATTAGATTTTTTTTTATTTAGTATATGGCATTTAGTTTGTTTCAATCTGCAAAATTAAAATAGCCACCACTTCAAATAAAATAGAAAATAGATTACAATAGCCAAATCAACCAAAAAAATCATATATGATGATGATGATGATTGTTAGAAATGATGTCTGAGAAATTTTTTTTTTTTTTTTTTGAAACAAACCTTTCTATATATTCAATATAATGATGATCATTATTATTATAATATAATCGATATATGCATTAATATTCAAATATATGATATAGATAGTATCAAATATATTTGCATAATATATTTGATACTATTATGAAACAAAATTCTTTTTCACTATTTTTTTCTCTATCTCCATTTTTTTCTTTTGTAAAAAAAAACAGAATCATAATATGATGATGATGATGATAATAAAACCAAGAACCAAAATGTGATGGTTACAAATATCAAAACTATACATATAATAATAATAATTATAATTCATCGATTCTTTTGTATTCAAATTTCGAAAAAAAAGTAATTCAAATATCATCAATATATATACAAAGTTTAACGCGGGGTTATTCCAAAAATGAAAAAACACAACTATCTTTACATAATGCATTTTACCCTTCATATACAATGTAACAATGTAATGCAATGTAGGGTAATTGTACAGCGTTATATCGAATCAGCGCTAAACGGGGCAGCGTTAAGCGGGGTATTGCTATATGCAAAGTTTAATATATGAAAAAAATACAACTTGCTTGCACAGGATGTATAGAATTATTATTATTCATGTCGCATTGTAACTTTAACTGTAAAAAAAATTCTGTTGTTGTTGTTGTTGATGTTGTTGCAGTAATAAGTGAATGTGGCCGTTCTTGATATTATTACTCATCTTTCAAACTGCTTTTTCTCAAATTCATGTTATATGTAATGTTTTTTTGGATTCTTTCAAGTCATTTTTTTTCTGATGATTCCACGAAATGTGTTATTTACATGTAATGTGTAGCATGTAATATACGCCTACACACAAGAATCTGGGATACAAAAATTTTTTTGTTGTTGTTCACCACCAACATCAATCATCATCATGAATGATGGTTTGTACGTGTGTGATGGCCACAATTTTCTGGCCAATGTTTCACATATAAAAATTATCAGGAAAAAAAGAATTTTTCGATTTCACGAATGAAATAATGATGATGATGATGATGATAATTTTAAAAAGAGAGAGAAAAACTTGGTGAATACATCATCAAAGATGATGATGATGATGTGCTAATGTGTCTACAAAAAAAAAAAAAAAAAAAAAATTTGCGGTCTATCATTTATTGAAAAAAATTAAATTAGCTGGGTAAAAATTCTCTAACAGCCATCCATTTCAAGTGAAAATGTAATCATTTTTTTTTTTTTTTTTGCAAAATTTGGATCCACACTGTCTCGGAAATCCTTAACAGTACACTGACAGGAAAGTACCAAAAAAAATGAAAAAAAAATTTCAAATTTTTTATCTGTGCAATTGCTACCAAAAATATTCTTCAAACAACAACAGCAGCCAAAAATAATGACATCATACAGAAAAATTTTAATCAAAGCAAAAAAAAAAAAAATCCATTCAATTAAAGAAATAGATAATTGAAGTTTTATGCTAGGTCCCTAAACCATAACAACAACAACAACAACAACAACAACAATAACAACTAAGCCCGACTAAACGTGTCTGGTTTATTTCAATGAAATTTTGACTTGACTTGACTTGTTTGTTTGCTGTTGTTGTTGTTGTTGTTTTTCATCCATTGATATATGGATTGGTAGGCATTGACAGGATCCAAACACATTGATTGATTCAATCAATGTTGACACATACATTGACTAATAAAGTTTAAAGCAAATATAAATATAAATATTGAATTTCAATTAATTCATGACAATTAAATGATGATCGATAGGATATGACAGAAAGATTTATTGAATTGAATTGATTTGGTTGAAAAAACGAACACACACACACACGCTCAATCAACAAACACAAAATTAGAATGTCGAATGAAAATATTGTTTACAACAAAAATTGTTTTGTATACAACTCTAAATTTTGTTTGTTTTCATTTCTGTTTTTCAACTCACTCACATACACACACACACAAAATCAAGTAGAAAAAAAAACAGAATTCGAATTCTAGATTCGAAATGTTATGATGAACATAGTTACAATTCGTTTGTTTGTTTGTTTTGTTTTGTTCTATAGAGTTTTATAATTCTGTATGTATGAATTGTGTGTGTGTGTGTGTGTCTCATCAAATCATCGAATCAACGTTGTTTTATTTTTTTTTTTTTCGCTAAAGACAAATTAGATCAACTCGAATTATAATCATATAATAAAAAAACATTAAGATATACAGATCACATCATCTATGAATAAAATGAAAAAACAAAAGAAAAAAAAAAATACAGTAATACCACTCGCTTAACGCTATCTCGTTTTGTTTCGATTTATGTTCAAAAAAAAAAAAGTTTTGGAACATAACCGGGTTATTACTGTACACAAGTCAAATTTGAAAACAAAGAGAAATAAAATGAAGAAGACAAAAGCCTCGAAGACAAATAAAACAAACAAAATAAAACAAAAAAAAACGAATTTCAAACAAACAAGAGGAATAAGAAATAAAATGATGATGATGATGATTGGCTGATGAATTCAGGATTCTATTTTTGTCGTGTTTAGTTGGATAAGAAGTGGAAAAAAAATTTATAAATTCCAATGAATTTCATTGACATAAAGACGACGATCAAAAACAATCAGCATTTTACAAACAAACAAGAAAAAAAAATCTTAACCCTTTTTCGAGACGCACACATTTTGAATCTTTTTAGTTCTCTTTAGATTATTGAAAAAGTGTTTCCGCTCTTTTATGTGTGTGTGTGTGTGATAGAATCGATGATTGAATTCGGAACATTATTATCATCGTCGAGTCGACACACTAATCATTGACATTTGGTTGATTGAATGATTTTTTGGTAGTATGAAAATTTCATTGAATGTTTTAAATATTGTCTCGATCAATGGTGTAATGTTGATTTTTTCCCACTTTCTCTCTCGAATGGATTATACCCGAGTGAATTGAATTTCATACCAAAAAAAATTAAACTTGACTATGGTAAAAAAAGCGCAAAAATCCAAGATGTCATCATGATGAAATATTCCAGTAAAGAAAAAAGATTTACACTTAAAAAACAGGAAAAAATAATAAGAAAAAACTCTTTGTGGAAGCGATTGTCATCATCATTTGAAAATCTTGTGGTTTTTGTAGTTGACAATTTTCTTTTGCTTTCTTTGTTGTTGTTGTTGTTGTTCTTATTCATCAATTTATATTGTGAAATGCGAAATATTACACAATGGCTCGTATTTCATTCCGTTTTTATCATTGTTATGCATGATCATGATTCTTGATATTAAAAAAAAGATGATGATGATGATGATGATGATGTTGAGAATGAACTGTACATGGTAAAAAAAAAAAAAACAGAATGTCAAACATAATGGTCACGACGACAACAAAGACAAGAAAAGATAATTCTGGTATCTTGTTGTTTTTGGTCGAAACACAATGTAATTATTTTAGCTTCCTTTTGATGTGTGTTTGTGCGTGTGTCTGTGTGTAAACAGTAGAATTAGTAAAGTGAAAAAAAAAGTTTTATGATTTGACGTGTGAACAATAGTGGAGAACAATATTTTTGGATCGTTCTGCTTTTTATTTCATTCTTGTTGATGAAAATAGCCATTATGTGACAACAAAGATGTGATGATGATTCAGGCTGAAAAAAAGCAATGATAAATTTATGGATCGAAAAATAAATTTACAGCCATTCATTCATTTGATTATTGTTGGAACTTTGAAGAAACTTTTGTTCCAAACGTAATGTGATGTTATGTGGGACAAATGTTTCAAGTTTCAAACAAAAAAAAAAATTCTATATTTTCTTCATAAGTGTTTTTTTTCAGCGTTACACATGATGTATGTATTCATCATTCATGACTTTCAATGTTGCGGTGTTGTGGTCAAGTGGTCAGAATTTTTTTTTGTTGTTGGTTTTGAATTATTTTTAGGTTATGTCCTTGATGATGATGATGATGATGTAACCAATGATCAACTCATACAATGTGTTAACTGATCCAACAGTACATAATTTACTCTCTAAATGTCAATTCATGGGGACCATATTATTTACAAAATCATAATCATGACCATGACCATATATGATGGCTATAAATAGACAAAAAATGTTTTTAACTTGTGTTGTTTCAGTCATCAATCCTTTATTTACCACTATTGGCCGAAATTCAATTTGTCAATATATTTACAAAGTATTGAAAAAACTTGATAAATATGTTGCATTCTGTAAATAATTAATCATTAGTATTAGTAATCATAAAGTAAATATAATAATCAGAAAAAGAAAATTTTACCGCTTATTAATTTTATCTGCTGATGAAAACTTACTAGAAATTAATAATTTAATAATACATTAATTCCCTTTAGGGATGCGAAATATTATTATTATTATGATGATGAAGAATCAAAACAAATACTGATACTGATCAACACAATTTAAAGTGCAATATATATAGAGAAATAAAGAAAAATATTGTATATAGAAAAACATGTCTTATCGAAAACGACGACAAAGTATCTATCTACAAGGACGAAATTCCATTTCGAGGACCAATTCTTATGATGGAACATCAGCGACCGCAGCAGCAGCAGCAGCGGCTGCAATTTCAGCATCTACAACCGGTGGTACTACATTACGAATTAATAGTCATAAAGCATCAATATTAATAGATAATTTTAGTGGCCTTCCTTGTCCGGATCTAAAAACAATGAAATGCTATAAAGGTTATGAATGGGTTACATTCAGACCAGGTAATAAAAAAAAATTATTTTTTTCATCAGTCAATAATCAATCAAGCAATGTAACTTATCTTCATATTACAGTTGAAATATTGCCGCCATCTACAATGATGCCAGAACCATTGAATACAGATGATGAAACAATTGATGAACAACAATCTGAATTCAAAGATTTGAATGATACAAGTAAAGACAATGATGACAAAGAGCTTTCGGCACCGGAAATTATTGATTATCGAATCACTAGATTAAGCAAAGATTGGATTCAAAAGTTTGTTCAAATCTTTTTTTTTCTTAATATATAATGAACTTTGACCTAACTAATATTCTCAAATTGTAGAGTGGGCACCGATGATATTGGCCAACAAGAAACACGTGAATGCCTTCACCAGCATGTGAAACAGAAATTTTGTCATGGTAGTAAAGCTGCAAAAGAAATGTCAATCATCGATATTCATCATTCATTGATTGTACGATATTCACTTGAATCAGTATGTGAAAGAAGACAATTATGTTGGACATTCGAACCATTTGTCGATCATGATGACGATGATACAACAGATAATCAAGTGCCTTATCCACATTCACATCAACCAGCTGATGATCCATGGAAAATTCCTGTTCATCAAGTTCGTGATTTAGAAGTGATGATCGAACAGATGACTCCATCATTACCATCATCAACACCTCAGCAACAGCCATCAACACCATTACCACCTATCAAAGAAACAGATGACGATGTTGTCGACGAGGTGGATGCCGTTGTTATTGAAGAGAAACCACCCACACAACGTACCGTAACATTTTTGACAATCGATAAACATCCTTTAAGTCAAGATTCATTAAATCTTGTGGCTAGTAAGGAGGAACAAGCACTTAAAAGAAAATATCAGGAAAAAATATTCCAAGATCAATGTATGGAGGTGACCGTACCAGGTACAGTTTCAATACATTCATGTCATATCTGTGCTGGCGTAGGCCGAAAACGATGTCTAGTCTGTGTTGGTTCTGGATCGGTAAGTTTTTTTCCTATCACATTAATTTGGTAATGCAATCATTGATCATATTTCAATCATAAGACCAAATGTGATATTTGTGAAGGAGTAGGTTTCTATGGTATCGATCACAATAAGCCAGCATTTACACGAACATTTTCGGCCAACAGTGACAATGGCAATGATTATTGTTGGCGTTGTCGTGGACGTGGTCGATTACGATGTGATGGCTGTTCGGGTGTTGGAATGACCGCATGTATTGGTTGTGCTGGATCCGGACAAATTAAATGTTACATCAAAATGATTGTCACGTTGTACGTAAAGACCATCAAAATGGCCTTAATGACATGACCGATTTATATTTATATTTTCATTAAATTCAAATAGAACAAATCATCACAATTCAGTTATTATCAGGGATAAATATTCCAATGAAATTCCTTTCGATCAAATCAAATTGACTGATGGTGATTTAGTATTGAACGAAGATGGTTTAGATGTGAGTATAAATTATTTTGATTCATATTGAAAAAAATGTCAATAATGATAAATTCGTGCTCTACACACATATCAGCTACATCCAACATCATCATTGTTTCATAATGATCTCATTACTGGACAAAGTGAACGTTTAATACGATTACATCGCCGTAAATACCTTGGAAATTGTCGATTAATATGGCAGGTTTGTTATTTGTTTCTATGTTGTTTGTTAACATTTTATAATTATTTTTGAAAAAACTTTTACACCAAATAGAGACATCGAATCAAAGTGATACCTGTTTGTCGTGTACATAGCTCATGGCATGGAAATCGTTTTCGTTTCTATGTTTTTGGTCGAAAATCACAACGTCGATGTTTCGCTATCGATTATCCACAACGATGTTTTTGTATACCATGTTGTTGTTTTTGTTGTTGCACATCTTGTTCTTCACCATGTCGTATAGCTTGAATTAAAAACACACAAACACATTTTTTTCACAAATCAAAGAAAACAAATTAAAATAAAAAATAAAATTCGAACATTATTCTTATCATCAGGAAAATTTTTTTTTGGTCTTTAGAATTCTATTACTGCTGCCATCTGGTAACGATAATTATTAACATTAATTGATCAATATATGAAAAATTTCGATGGAAACTAAGTGAAAAAAAAGTTTATTTGGAAAAAAAAATTCAAAAATTATATCATTACAATCAATCAGAATCATACAATTCAATCATACATAGAGCGAATAATAATAATTACAATCAATAATCAGCAAAAGAAAAAATGAAAATAATTCCTAAAGGCAAAAAAAAGTACGAATCAATCGCGAATTATTGGAAAAGGAAAGAAAACGAGCCGAGCAATCATTGCAATCATTGCAATGCACGGTGATGAGAGTAGAAAAAAAGTAAAGAAAAACTTGAATAGTAGAAAAAAAATTCAACAACGAAAAAAAAAAAGAAAAAAAAAAAATGGCAGAGGCAGTGAAAAAAAAATCGAAGAATATTATGACAATGAAAATAGAGAGGAAAAGTCTATTTTATAATCAAATTCCATTGATGGCAAAAACAAACAATCTGTCCAGATAGATTTGGAATAGACTGGCTTGTTGAATATCATATTTGGCATTTGATCTGATGATATTTCCTTTTCATTCATCCCATGCACAATAATAATCATCATTACGTGAAGAACGATAGACATATGGAGCCATTGTAGCAACAACGGATGATTGTTTCGTCGTTGTTCCATTATGATGATGATGATGACCTTTTCCGTTATGATGATGATATGGATATTGAGTATATGGATAATGAGAATTACCGTTGCCGTTACCAACACCACCACCACCACTTGGACAATATTTATTCGAATCATAACGTGTAGCGGCCATACCGATTCTTGTACTACCATAGGTTGAATCGCCACCACCACCACCACCAACACCGTATGAAATGAAAGAATCATCACCATTTGGGCCACAACCACCACCATTTTCACTTGACACTGTATATGGATCGGATTCGCCTGGACAAAAGAGATAACAAAAAAAGACCGTTATTTATTTATTTAATTATTTACAATCAATGTGACAAATAGAGAAAAGAAAAGAGTCAATATATTGATCCGATTATAATGAACCTCCGTTGCCGTCGTCGTAGTCGTAGTCGTAGTCGTCATAGCCGTCGTTATCAATTCATTAATCGACTCATTTTATTGATTAAATCATCTCTATTCAATTTGAACAAAAAAAAAAAGTTCTATTTATCTTTTTTTCTCAGAAATAATTAATCAACTTAATGAGAAAAATTCGGTAGCCATTTTATATGAATGAAATGAACAGAAAAAAAAATTTATATTTGAAAGATGATGAAACAAAAGAAAATGATCACAATATACGATCATAATTCGATATAATAATAATAATAAATGAACAAAAAAAAGCAATCAATTTCTAATCGATTAATGGATTGATCAATTGAATTCATTCATTGAGATATTATTATTATTATTAAATCTGGTCATGACTTTTAAATGATGAATGAATGAATGAATGAATGAATGCAAAAAAAATCAACATTGAACAATGTTAATAAATGAATGATGGACATCAGTTTGAAGAGAGAGAGAAAGTTATCATTTCACTATCATCATCATCATCATCATCATTTTATTATGAAATAAAAATGGTAGCACAATTTCCATGGTTATTTTTATACCGAATGGAATTTGATCTAAGATGATATGAACGAATCAATCAATATCTTTCTTGCTATGTTTTTCGAAATATTTGACATTTAAAAATCAAATGGATCTGTTTGCTATCAGAATAAAAAAAAATTGCTAATGTGAAACCAAAATCTTTCAGGGCAATAATCACCATCAAGATTATAGGTATGCAAGACGGATTTGATCGGAAAATCAATCGATTGTTTATTTATTCATTATTTGTCCATCAATCCATCAATCAATCAATCAATCAATGATCAAATCTAATTGATTCAAATGGCAATTTGATCGTTTGTTTTTTTCGTTAGCATTATTATAAACTAGAGATAGTTATATCTATCTGGTAACTTTGATTGATCGAAAAATAAACAACAACAATACACCTGAAGCTAATCATGAGGGACAATAAAATAATTTTGGGAATAATGCCAGAACATGAATAAAAAAAGAACAATAATAATGAATAAAAATAACCAGAAAGAAATTGATATTTATCTAACAGTCAACTATCAATGTGATTTATCATTCATTCTTCTTCTTGCATGATCACCAGCCATCAATGATTGAGTTGAATGGGTTAGAGAAACAAGTCCCGATGATCATCATCAACATTGTTATCGTGACATGAACGTTTGTCGTTTGTGTAGTCATTTCATGTTGGTGGTGATATATCGTCTCTTACATTAGCTTTCGGTGAAATTTATTAATCGATTCAATATCTGAATAGTTTTTTCCGATTGATGAAAGCATTGAACTGCATTTTCGAATGATGATCAATCGGACGAATGGATTATCATCAAATCGTCACAAGTAAAAAAAAAGTTTTTTTTCAATAACATATTTAGCATACCTAATGATCCATAATAGGATTGATAGGAAGCGGTACGAGAATGTAGGATGTTTGGTGACTTTAAATAAGAATTTAAAAAACCACTAGTTGGAACTTTTCGTGCATGAAAATCCGATTGATTATAAGCTGATTTGAATGGCATATTTGCCATATTTGATGTGGCCATCAATGTTGATGCATTGTGTTGATTTTGAGTAGAGGATTTCTTGGCAAAATTAGGCACACGAGCACTGAATCCACTGTAATATGGATCATCTGTTGAAAAAAAAGAAAAATGATTAATTGAAACATAAATAAAGAATAAAGAAAACTGACCAAAAGTACGCGGATTATTATTCAAGGGCATTATAGAATATTGATTTTCATCTTCCGTATCTTTAGGTAGCTGATTTTTTGATGAGAACTTTTTCGATGATGAAAGCAATCGAGATTTATTTTTCCTTTCGAAATCTCTGGGTGGAAGTTTAGGAGGTTTTGGATCATCGGATGATGACTTATTCTTTGAATTATTAGTGCTGCCATTCGATGTTGGAGGTGGTGGTGGTGACATTGGTCCTGTGCTCACATAATGTCCAGATGATCGTGATCCACCCGATGAAGAACTATTATTACCAGGTAAAGTATAAGGATCCTCTTCTTGAATGGCCGCTTTTTGTCGATCGAATAATGTAACCAGATTTGGTACAGATTGACGTTTTGAAATTGCTGTAACAAAATAATAATAAGAATTAAAATTAAAAATGTGAAAATAAACAAATAATGATGACGACAATACCTGGTGGCAATTTAGATTTGAGCATATCCATTGCAACAATATTGATAATCATAATCCATACTGGTAAATCAAGTAAATCTGGTGCATCTTTCACAAAACTTATACAACAAATACATTGATTTTCTAATTTACGACGATCCGGATAAGCTCTTCGTAATTCACGATTCATATTTTGTTGAAACCTTTTCATATCGAATAATCGTACGGCTTTATTTACTTCTAGTAGACCATTATTTCGTATGATTTCCATTGAAACTGATGTCTGTGATTCTTGATTTGTTTGTGAATCATTTGCGACAGCGTTGGTAGTACCGATTTGCCATCCTTTAACATAAACATTGGATTTTGCCAGACGTTTGATTAGAATGTTACCATCATCATCCATACGAATTTTTACGCCCTATAAAAACAGGAAAAAAAATGATGATAAAATACAAGAATAAGTCAACCTATCATCATCAACAATAATAACGATAAGCATCGATTATTTTTAGAGATGGCCATCACATCATCATCATAATCATTATCATCATCGTTGACCATTCATTCATACATATGACCATCAACACATCTACAACAATCGAATGAAAAAATTCATTCGATTGTTTTGTTTAGTCTATCAATGAATGAATAAATGAATGCATGAATGTTTGACCAAATTCGATTGTACACTTTGTGTATTATAGACAGCAGCAGCAGCAGCAACAACAACAACAATGAGAATGACCTAAAACACTGTGTAAATTAATGGTTATGGATTGAATGATTTGAATATGGAAGGCTCCTGTTGATCATCTATGTATGTGTGTGTGTGTCTAAAAGTTGAAAAATTGTTGTTGAACAAAAACTACTATATTTTTTTCTACAAAATACAATCAAACATTAAACTAATCAATCAATCAATCAATCAATCAATGAACTAATTGTGTGCATATGATGTGATTCAAATGTTGATTTATTTCGAAATTGATAATGACCATATAGAGATTATTTGGGCCATATGTTTTTTTTCAATTTGAATGGTTGTTATTGTGTGGTCGTAGAAAAAAAAATATAACTTACATCACCAATATGATGTTTAATGACATCGGTTTTTGGATCACGTAATGGATTATCGAAACCATTCAAACCAATACGATAACCATCGAAACCATCATCTGAACCATTTATAGTAAGTATTGGTGCACGTGCATATGCTTTTGCTACACGACGATTACGTTCCATACAGATTAATTTGGCCCATATTTCATCATCGATTTGTTCCCATTTATTAAGTATCTCTAAGATATGATCCTAAAAGAAAAATAAAAATTAAAATAGAAAAAAAACGAAAACATTTAGTAAATCCACAAAATAAAAACAAAACAAAAGAGAAACAGTAAAATCACATGAACAACTATTAAAACAATGAAACAACAACAAACAGCAACAACAACGGGTATTAGATAGGAAAAAAGGTCGGTAAGTTCATATAGCAGTAGTAGTCAAAATAGCCAAAATAATAATAATGATGATGATGATGACTACGAAAGTTTAAAAAACGAATAAAAATGATTCATTCATTCATCATTCAATTTTCAAAACAAGTAGAACAACAAAATGAGACAATCATCATCATCATCATCATAATACCCCAATGATGATGATGATGATGATGGATATACACAAATACAATGGACACAAACAAAAAAAACGAAGAAAAGAAAAAGAAAATATTTTTGTTTTCCTACAATTAGCAGATGACAACAATGACAATAAACAATAAATGATGATGATGATAACGAACCAAAAACACAATCATAATCAACCTTTTAAGTAATGATGATTTTTTTTCCACCGTTGTTGATAAAAAGAGCAAAAAAAAATGGCAGAAAAAAGAATTGAAAATGAGACAAAAATAGAATCAAAATGAAAGAAAATGATGGAATCAAACACACAATGACAATATATTTCCATTACAATTCATTCATTCATTCATTTAAATAATCAAACACAAAACACGAATCCAAAAAAAAAAAAAATTTTGTTTTGCTGAGACTGAATGAATAAATGGAAATTGAATGCGACAAATAGCAAAAAAAAAAAAAAAATGACCGAACACAAAGAACAAACATTATGAAAGGAAAAAGGAAAGAAAAAAAAAACAAAATCAAATTCAATTAGTTAATTCAAGTCGGATGGTCAAGTGTATACAATTCATTCAAAAGAAAGTCAATTGTTGTCACACAAACAAGTGTCATCAATGAATTCAAACACACAATCTTTTCTTGTGATATAAAATAATGGTCATTTTTTTTATGGAATAATAATAAAGTCAAATGTGAATTGTGTGTGTGTATTATTACGACATTCGACGATTTGATCATTTTCATTTTGAAACGACAAGTAATTTCCATTATAATGACAATAATAATAATAATAATGAAAATGATGATAAAAAACAAAAATGAAAAACAAACGGATTCAGAACAATCACCATATCATGATTCGCTTTATTATTATTATTATTATTATGGCAATGGTAACACAATATTTAAATCTTTCATTGCCAACAATGATTGTAATATCATCATCATCATCGTTATATAATAAAAACGGGAGCTAAATTTAATTTCCCTAATTTTAAATATCAAAAAAAAAAAGATAGATAGATAGAAAGCTTTATTTATTTCATCTATGGATCGAGCAAGAAGAAGAAGAAAAAGAAAAAAAAACAGAATAGCTAGAACAATAGAGTTTGTGTGTCGTGCGTTATTATTATAAGCAAAAGATTTTTTTTTTTTTATCATTTAATTTTTCATATATATGTGGACAATGTCCAATAAGTGCACACACGTCTTTTTTTTTCTTTCTCACTATCCAAATGGACAATATTGGACAATCAAATTGTCAAATAATGTATCATCAACAACAACTACAACAACAAGAATGGCAATGAATGAATTGGAACAACAACAACAACAACGACAAGGAGAAAAAACCATTGAAGATTTGAGGAGAGAGCAAGGAAACAAAAAAAAAAAATATCAAATTATCTGACAACCAAAATATTGAACGACAACGACGACGACGAAGACGTGATCCCCAAACACCGACATCCAAATAAGCAATGAATGAATGGACACATTTTTTTTCTCTTCTATGTGCTGCTATACGATTATTTGTTTATTTCAAGGAATCATATTTTTAGGATTCGAATGCTGTCTATATGTTTTATTGGTGGCCACATTGGAATAGCCAAAATAATCATTAAAAAAAATGGCACGCAATGAACATCTTAGTCTACAAAAAAATCTTGACATTCGGATTATTTTCGGTAGTCACATTCAACAACAACAACAACAACAGAAACAGCAATGAAATAAATAAAAATCAACCGAAAATAAAACAAAAATACCAATGCTTTTGCTTTGGATTGGATCATGGGCTAATTTTATTTTGTAGATGAAAAAAAATACAGAAAAATTTTCATCTTAGTAAAACAAGAAAATCAAGAAAAATCAAATGAAATGAAATGAATGTAACTACACAGCATATATACCAATGTTTATTACAATAATCATCATTATTATCATGCAAACAAACACAGAAAAAAAACAAGAGGTGTATGATTTGAATATTGCCAGTTGTATGTGTGTATTATATAATCACCATGTTCATCATCATCATCATGTCGTCTTGAATTAAGGATTTGTTTTTTCTTTTATTTTGAATTTCTTTTATTTTCATCATTTTAAACCGCCATTCAAGGATACAAATATATATGAATAAGAATTATGAACAAGACATTTGTTTGTTACAGAGAAGAAAAACAACGTGTTTTATATGTGTCGGATTTAAGTTTTGTTTTCTGTGTTTTCTGTGTTTTTGTTGGCACCAATGTTTCATCACACATCATTATTATATACACATTATTTGTCAATTTGTTGCTGATGACATTGGCAGCGAACAAACATCAACTTGTCGATGATGATGATGGCTGTATTATAATCAAAATTATAAAGATATAATGAACATTTGTGGTCAATATTTATTCGATTATGATGTTGTTGTTTGTTGTTGTTGTTATTATGGAAATAAGAGAATTATTGATTTTATGAAACAAGACAAAAAAGACAACGATTAGATTACATCAATTGTATGAAACACACACACAATCAACCAGTATTTTATTCATAGAATTGAATGATATTCACCCAAAAAAAAAAAAAAAAAAAAATAAAATAAAATAAAATAAACTAAAGAAAAACATTTAAAAAAGTAGTTAATGGTGGTAATGTTTATTATATAAATAAACTGGAAATAATAATAATTCCTGGAAACAATAAACAAACAAATTTCACATTGAACCAATTATCATCATCATCATCATAAAATGTCATTATAGCCATTTCACATTTATAATGATAAATGTCTATGTGAATTTCTGAAACAGGAATAAAATGGGTGTTTCAATTTCTCTCTGTACTTGTTTGTGATGATTTGATTTGTAATGAAAAAAAAATCATTTTGGTCATCAAAACAATACAAAATGATCATTTTGCCGGTGTTGATCACACATACACACACACACACACAGACACACACTAACAAACGAAAAAAAAAAAATTCGGTGATAATAATGTACAAAATGGGCAACCATTTTTGTATTTTTTTTTTTTTTTGTTTGTTTGTTATTTGTTTCTTGTGAATTGGAATTTGGTCAGTTTTTTTTGTAAGCAGAAATAATAATAAAAAAAATTTATTTTGTTGACCTCGATTTCTTTTTATTTGAGACCATTTGTTTTTCTATATACAATAACAACAGTCATTCAATGAAAAAAAAGGGCCAGTAGTTGATCGATTAATTGTCCATTCATTCTGTCTGTGTTCGTTGTTGTCGTCGTCCAATGTCCATTATTATTTTATTATTATTTTTTTTTGTCTAATTTGTAATTTCACAAAGAAAACTTGTTGCGCTGTTATTTGTTTCGACGATTCACTTGGCTTGATGATTGTTGAAAGTTTTTTTTGTTGTGTGTGTGCGTGTGTGTGTGTGTGTGTAATGTAATGTGTATAATAAAGAGGAAAAGAAACAACAACAACAACAACAACAACAACGAAAAAACAAGATGTAGTAACAAGTAATTTAATTATCAGAAAAAATTTGAATGTTATCTATTATTTATATAAATAACGGTCTAGTAGTAGTGTATGTATGTCTGTCTAGTGTTGTTTACATTATGTAATCACACTAACTATATGATGAATTAGTAATAAGACTGTTGAAATATACATTTTTATGTCGGTATGTGTGTTTGTGAATCATCATCATAGTAATAGTTTTTTTTATTTCAAAAGGTAAAAAAAACGACGTTTAAAAAATTTAAATCAATTCTGACACACACACACACACACACACACAAGGTCACGATTATTGATATTTTTTGTTTGTTTGTTTACCTGTAAATTCTTGATTTTTTTTAATGAAAATTTTCATTCATTTATTCAAAGCCATTGTTGTTGTTGTTGTTGTTGTTGATTAAGATTTACATTTATATTTATTTTTGGATTTCAATTTGTATAAACGGCTTTCATATATTTTAAGTTTAATCTTTTTTTTTCGAAAAAAAGGTCATAAACAAAAACCCCTTAAAACCTTTAAAAGGACGATATAAATATTTGAAAATCTTTTTATTTTTTGTTGGTAAACAACAACAACAACGGCGGCAAAAAAACCAGGTCGATTTGAATTTTTTCATTTGAAAAAAAATGATGATAAAAATGGAAAGATTTCAATGTCTCTATATGTGTTTGATAAGGATATTTCCGTTTTAGCAAAGAAAAAAAAATTTTTTTCATTATTGCCAAATTGTTCTTTCTATATTTCATTGTGATTATATCATGTAATTATCATCATCATCAGCTGTATCAATTGAAAAAAAAATTATTCAAAATCTAAAATTGAAACGAAAAGGAAAAAACGTTTGAATCATATCAATAAAGATGATGATGATGATGAAGATGATGATTACGATGATGGCAGTGATAATAATTGACAGTGACAGAAAAAAACAAACGACTTTTGCTACTACTAATACCATTATCTTTTTTTTTACTAATTATGTAACTGCCACCATATACAGATATATAGATGACAATGATTGACATGAAAAGGAAGCTAGTCACATGGTATTATCGACACAAGTCATGCAATAAATGATGTCTAATCATCCTTTCATTTTATTTTGAAGCAAAAAAAAAAAAAAAACAAAACACTGAAAATAAACCTGAAATCGACCAAAAACAACAAC